GAGAGAGAGAGAGAGAGAGAGAGAGAGAGAGAGAGAGAGTTGGTTGTCATGGCAACCCCAGAGCCAGCATCCCTATGGTTGGTGGGGGAGGGAACTGTTAAGCTGACGATTTTCCAGAAATGTCTAAATGTGCCCCCATCTCCCCGTCCCCAAACATTACCAGGCTCCACTGCCCCCACACCCCCTCTGGCACCTCACCCACCAGCCTTGACCCTCCAACTCACGTTTATGGTTGTTTTTCCGGTGGAAAGGCAGGGCGTGGCGCTCAGTGTGCTCCTCCCCCTCCTCCTCAGCCAGGTGGGTGTGGGTGTAGTGGTAGCTGAGCCCTGGCCGGTTCTTATACCTCTTCCCACAGACTGGAGGAGAAGTGAGTGGGTGGTTGTCAGACTCCAGGGCCACCTCCTCCACCCTGGCCTCCAGGATCACACCACCTGCTTGGCCAAGAGCCATAAGGGAGAGATCACCGGGTCCCACCCCCCATCTCTCTTCCCCCTCTGCAGAACTCACTATCACAGACGTACGGCTTGTCTCGGTCCTCCAGGGATGCGGTGTCCTGGCGTTTTCGGAGCCCTCCGATGCCATATGCCTGTAGGGAGGAGGGTTAGGAGTAAGGAGCCCGGAAAACCAGGAAAAGGTTCATCATTCTTGGGGATTTTGAGTTTGTCGTCGTCGTCGCTGTTGTTGCTTGAGCCAGGGTATCATTATGTAGCTGCGGCCTGAGCTGGAATTCGCTATGTAGATCAGGCTGGCCTTAAACATGCAGTGACCCTCCTGCCTCTGGATTGTGGGCACGTGCTACCCATGCCTTAGTAGGCAGCTTCATTTAGACTTGAAAGTCAAACTGAAGAAAAAAAAATAAAATTTTTCTTTTCAGTACTGGGGGTGTGGCTCAGTGACAGAGCAGGTGTCATGTGGGTGCTGTCCCAGAGCCACATAACAATAATAAAATCTCCCCACTAAAACTGGGCACATTTTCTAGCTGTGAGCCTTTGAATTTCTCTCAGTACACCTATGAAGATGATTCTTTTTGTTGTTGTTTTGAGACGGGGTCTCTCCACAACATCCTTACTGTCCGAGAACTCACTATATAGATCAGGTTGGCCTTAAACTCACAGAGAGCCTCTTGCCTCAGCCTCTCCAGTGCTGGAATTAAAGGTGTGTTCTAAGACCTTTTTATTGTTCTTATTGGAGGTTTTATGTGTGTGTGTGTGTTGTATGTGGTACATGTGTGTTTTTGTGTGTTTGTGTGTGTGGTGTGTGTATTTGTATATGTGTGTGTGCATGGTGTGTGTGTGTATATGTTTGTATTTATGTGTGTTTGTGTGCGTGGTGTACATGTATGTGTGTTTATTGTATATGTAGAGTCTATATTTGTACACGTGTTTGTATGTGTATATTTATATTTGCATGTGTTTGTATATATGTTTGTGTGTACGTTTGTATGTGCATGTATGTGGTGTGTGTGTTTGTGTGTGTTTGCGTGTGCATGGTGTGTGTGTTAGGATTGTTTTTATTTCTTTTTGCACACAGTCTCTTTATGAAGTTCAGAACAGCCTGGAATTCACTTATCTCAAACTTGTAGCAATTCTCCTGTCTCAGCCTCCCAGGTGCTGGGATTATGAGTGTGGGCTACCACACCCAGCTCTGCAGGACAGTTCTGATCCACAAAGCTCCAATTTCAAAATGTTTATAATCCACCGAGTTTCCATTTCCTCACCCATAAAAATGGGTGTAAAACCCTCTACTCCTTCACATAGCTCGGGGAGGAGGTGGGAGGGAGAAGCTTCTGGAAGATACCTTTCCTTTGGCCCTGTTCTTCCTCCTGGGAATGTCTTCCTCCAAGTCTTCTACCTCGAGATCATGCGGAAACTCCAGCAACTGCTGTTTCTGGGCCCAGTAGAAGGGAGATTGAGGGGTCAAGAAGGTGGGGGCACTGATGTGCCACAGGTAGGGTGGGAGAGCAGGTCAGGGAGCCTTCTACAAGCAGAGGTGTTTTGGGAGAATGGGGCCATAGGGTACCCAGAGGCCCTGTGGAGCCGGGCGTCTCAGAGCAGGAAGGCACTGGTGAGAGGCTACCTGCAGCCAGGGACGGGGTGCCTACCTGACAGTCCATTATGGTCTCCTCCTCCTTCAGCTCCACTTTCTTCTCTCCAGTCTCAGCACACAGCAGAGCCTCAAGGACTGGCCCTTCTGGGAGGCCACCCTCCTTCTTCAGGGGTGCATCACAATCTGGGGACAGTCCACAGGGAAAGTGGTATCAGCTGAAGAGGCTGTGATCAAAGTCCCAGGCTGCAGGGAGGTGGGGGTGGGGGGATGGCCCTCGTGGCAGGGACAGGCTCTCCTACACTCAGCCAACAATGGGTGTAAGGATTCAACTCAGGGCCTGGAAAGAATGCTCATACCCTGCAGAGACACAACCACACCGTCAGCTCTACTAGATAAAGAAGACAGGACCAGACCTCAAATACACCGGAAACCTCGGGAACAATACAGACCCTCATAAACACCTGCACAGAGAAAAGGCACCTAGACCCTCAGATACACCCACAGAAAGTTAGACATTTGAATAGGATACACACAGGCACATATACGGGGCATGCAGATAGATGGCCAGCCACACGAAGGAACACAGCCAACCTTTAAATACAGCTGGACACACAGAAGAGGTACGATTAAACCCTTGGATACAGAGATACTCAGAAAGAGATAGCCAGAGCCACAGAGAAATCTGAACCTTCCTTAATTAGGAAGACACAGGCGGGCCCTATGATACACCTGGACACTCAAGACAACCCCAAGGAGAAGCACTCAAATGTGCCCACACGCTTACACAGAGAAACACAGACTGACCCACACAGGAAGCCACAGCCAGCCAGCATTCCAGTACTCTTGATACCAGCAGAACTTCACACACACATTTGGACAAAGGAAGAGGAGAGACCAATTTCTGCCTTTTCTGAACATACTGGAAAACTCCAGAAGAAACACCTAACACAGAAAGACTCTCACAGGTACAGCTGGCAGCTCATTAACTCAAGACTTCCGGGGACAGACAGCCTGCTGTGGGGACACTCACAGAAAGACTACCCACCCCAACAGGATGCCCTGATGGAATCAGATATACCCCCTAAAAGAGCTAGATAGTCACAGACCTACCACACGCACACAATCAAACACACACTTTCTGATACATATTCTCTCTTGGAAACACCTAGAAAGGAACAGGCATTCTAAAACACTCAGCAACAAACAAAAGTTACAACTAGACACCCTTAACTCAGTGGCTCTCAACCTTCCTAAAAGGGTGACCCTAAATTTAATACAGTTCCTTCCTCATGTTTTGGTGACCCCCCCCCGCCATAAAATTATTTCGTTGCTACTTCATAACTGTAATTTTGCTACAGTTATAAATCATAAATGTAAATTGTTATACAGGGTCTGGGACCCACAGCTGGAGAACTGTTGCTAAATCTTACAAATACACAGGGAGAGAACCCTCAAGCATCCACAGATAGAGCCACAGCCAGACGCCGGTGTACCCAGCTCACTGGGAAGCACATACAGTCAGACTTGATACATCTAGACACAGATAACACCGCGTCCTCCATACACCTGCTCGCCATGACCCACATAACAGGTACAGCTGGCAGCTCAGTAACTCAAGACGTCCGGGGACAGACAGCCTGCTGTGGGGACACTCAGGATAATAAAGACGAAGTTCAGACGGGCAGCAGGGGGGCTGAGGGTCTTGACTGGGGCCACAGCAGGAGCAGGAGACACTGCTCCACCCACCGATCTTGTACTCGCAGGGCCGGAGCCTGGGGTCCTCCAGGATGTTGAGTCTCCGTTTCTTTCTCCAACAGCGGGCGGGGTAAGTGTAGATCTGTCCCGGGGCCAAACCTAAAGGAGAGAGGCTGTGAGAGTGAGGTCCCTGGACGCAGGCCCCGCCCCGCCCCAGCCTCGCGGCGGGTACCAGGCCCGCGGTGGGTCTTCTCCATCCAGATGTAGCAGTTGTTCTGGGCCACGCCGGTCTGCGAGTCGAGGAAGGGCAGGCGCAGGCTGCGCTCGGCACACAGGCGCGCGTTGTAGCTGCGGCAGTGCTCGATGGCCTCCCGGTAGAAGTCCTCGCCAAGGCTGCGGGGGCGGGCGAGCAGCGGGCGGGAGGCTGTCAGTAAGGGCTGGTGCGGGGAGGCCCAGCACCCTCCCCCGGCTGCCGGTTCCCGCTGGTCCGCAAAGGGCAAGCCGGCCAGGACCACCTTCACCTCCCCCATCTCCTCCCACCCCTCTGGATCCGGGGACGGGGCAGGGAAGCAGCTACCTAAAACTTGATTAGGTCTCGGGTTAAGAAGTGTTCACAGACAATATAGAAACAGACCAAAACATACCGGGACCCATCCACACATGAACGTAGCCAAACACCCAATACAAACAAATCGCACATGGCCACACGGGATTCACACACAAAGAGAAACATATCCCAATATTCACAAAGGAGTAGCAAACAAATTCTCTCTGTCGCACAGACACACATCTCTTGCAGAACACAAATATTCCAAATCAAAAAGAAGCCATAGAACTACCCATGAATGTCATGTATCCAGAGACCCAGATGTGTCCAGAGACAGATTATCCACAAAGACCCACAACATGGAAACACACCACACAACACTCATCCCAGCAGTCACACAAATGGCAAAAGATAGGGACCCTAGAAACATTTACCCATGCACTTACTTATCCAGCCCAAGACACTCCAGCCAAACACACAATACAAAGACATCACAGAGATTTACAAGGGTACACATATCCACACCCCGGGACAGAAACGCAAATTTAAAAATACGTTCCCGAACACAGGTACACACACACCTTGGAAACAGAGGGACAGTCAGGTCTGCCCATGTTCACACAAAAAATTTCGACCTATCCACACACATCCCCATCCAAAGACACAGGACATAAATGGTGCAGTTTCGCCAGACATGTGCACACACTTAAGAGACCCAAATACTCAGGTAGTGCAGAATAAAAGAAACCCTATACATGCCCACACGTTCAGCTACAAAACAAAAAGCAATGTATAAGTCGCTCAACACACTCCACACACCCCAAGACAAAGGTAGTGTGGATTCGACTCGAGTGTACCCAGGCCCCAGCTTCCCTAAACCATTCACCCTCTCTCAAACGCTGGCATCCCGGGGAGGGGACATGACCCCTTTCCCCTAAAAATCCTTGGAGACCCCTCCCCCACGTCCTCCACCCGTCCAGGAGCAACGCGTCGGACACCATTCTTGCCAGATATCCACAGTCACATACACTCGCACCCCCGCACGCGGTGACAGCCCCCTGACACCCCATCAGCCCCACCCCCAGCGGCCACACACATACACACGCGCGCGCGCGGCCGCACAGACCCGCCCGCGCCGACTCCCCCGCCTCGCGCCCGCCCGCACCACCTCAGGGGGCTGGGGATGACCGTGGCCATCTTGCTCCCCGGGTCCTGCCCCCAGCAGGTCCCTGCCGGGTCGGTCCTCCCAGCGGTCGGGCGGGCGCTGAGGCCGCCCATCCATTCATTCCCGAGGGGCGGGAACACGAGGATCTCAGCCAATCAGAACGGCAGGGCGGGCCGCCCAGGCCATGCCGGGAGTGGTAGTCCCTAGCGGGTCCTCCGACCCAGGGGGGGGAAGGATGGAGGATCACGCAGTCGTTCACACACGCTCACTCACACGCACTCCCAGCCCCACGTGCACAGACGCATGCACGCACACACGCGCACATGGCAGCTTACACACAGTCACACTACACTCGCAGACTTCCATTCACCCCACCTTCACGCACACCGGGCCACAGGCGCGGGGACCTCACAGGTGCCCACTCAGCGGTGTCACCAGCACGCCAGACGCCACTTGACACTCCAAACTCTAGAGCACCCATCGTGACTGAGAGATGACTCTCGCGGCCACCTCAGTCCACTCCTACGAAGGAGCTACAGAACTGCCGTCATTCTTCCTGGGCTCCAATCCTTCGGGAGCATTACTTAAGCTTTCTGGGCCTGTCTCAACGGACTGAAGATTACAATAGTAACAGTGTAAGTGGCCGTTTTAAGGACAGCATCTTGCTGTTCAGCCCAAACTGGCCAATTCTCCTGCCTCTGCTGGAATTATGTGTGTGAAAGCCACACCAGCAAGAATTAGTACCTGGCAGGTCCTAAAAAAATTCATTTATTCCACAGAAAATATATCTACAAAGAGGATCTGATATGTACCAAGGCATAAAGTGGTAACACTGTTCTTAGGAAGAATAAGTAGCCTGCCTTAGTAGGTGTTCAACAAATATTTGTTGGGTGAATACTTAACACCCACTGTGTGCTTAACACAGCTCTCTCCAGGCTAAACCTTTACCATCCGCATTTTCCAGAGGAGGACTTGGAGATACTGGGAGGAAACCTTACCTGTTCTCAGCCCCTGACTGCTGTCTGGATGTAGGATTTGTGTGCCTGCCATCCATCCATCCCTACAGACTCTACCCTAAGAGATCCCCCCCCAGAGAATGAGCTGACCTGCTGAATCACACACGCACACACACACACACACACACACACACACCACTCCACACTCACACTCAGCCCCACCCTCTGGGGAATAATTTAGCATTCTGATTAGAGTGGCTGCATAAATTAGCATATTAAGTGTTAAGACAAAAACACTCTTGTCCAGCAGGGGGCGGTCCACCCCATCCGCATAAGTCTCAAGATTTCCCACACTTCACACACACAATACACCTCTAGACTTAGCGCCCTTCCACAAATGGCCCCATCCACCCACCCATCTCAGGCGTCCAAGGTCTTGACTTCTCTGTCCCCCGCCACTGGTAGGGTGTCTGATTTATGTCCTGACCAGGAATAAGGGGTGCTGGTCCCCCTCAGTTGGTATCATCCCCAGACCATGCCGAGATATGCCCAGTCTCCAGGCCCAGTGTTCAGCTCAGAGGGTCCTTGTCACAATTCTCTGCCACGCTCCATATCCCCAGCGCACAAAACTGCTCCACAAAAGGTCTTGTCACCTCTGAAGCCCAGGTTACCACAAAGAAAGGGCATGGCTCCTTCCTGGACACTTCCGTGCACACACAACTCTCCTCAGAACTTGACCTTCCCAGTCCTCTCAGTTGCCCAAGCAATGCTCCTGTCCCCGAGCCCAGGGCCTGTGAGATAATACTAATTAGTCACTATTTGCATCGATACTTTGAGTCAGGCGCTGTGCAAAGTGCCCGACAAAGATGGGCTTTTTAGTGAGGTCCTGTGGCTCAGGTATGTCACCCTATCATCAGATGGCAGCCTGTGCCTAGAGAGTTTTAAACACTCTGTCTTGGGGCTGGAGAGATGGCTCAGTGGTTAAGAGCACTGACTGCTCTCCCAGAGGTCGGGAGTTCAAATCCCAGCAATCACATGGTGGCTCACAACCATCCAAAATGAGATTGGATGCCCTATTCTGGTGTGTCCGAAGACAGCGACAGTGTACTCATAAATAAAAGAAGACAGCGACAGTGTACTCATAAATAAAATAAATAAATCTAAAAAAAAAAGACTCTGTCTTGAAAACTAAACAAACAAACAAACAAAAACCCACAAGAGGGAGAGTGCTGGGTAATCCTAGCACCTCACAGGTATCAATGAGAGGTCAGGAACTCCAGGCCAGCCTCATTGATTTAGTGACGTAGAGACCAGCTTGAGCTCCCTAAGATCGTGTCGGTAACTACTAACTCAACAGCCTTTCTGAGCTTCGCTGCTGCCCCCACGAGGTAATGCAAACAGCTACGCTACCCAACCCACACACAGTAACACTGAGGCCCAGAGCAGGCTTCAAGCCAAGTGTGAATCCAGGCAGAGAGAACTAAATTAAAGCCAACGGACTCTTCTTCCCAAGGGGATTTGGCTCCAGCTAGCCCTGACTGGCTCATGTGTAAACCAGACCGGCAGAAATTCTCCTGCGTCTGAGATTAAAGGTCGTGGGGCCACCACGACCTGTGGCTCTGGCACTCCTGAGGAGCAAGTGTGTCCCTACTTCCAGCCCAATAGACAGACCCTTTGGAGGGTAACCTGAAGAGATTGGCTGCCCCCTCTACTCCTGCAGAGGGCACAACGCACACACTTCCTCCAACGTGTCTGCAGACCCACCGACGCAGATTGGAACTCCAGCCTTCACTGGTTTCAGGGTGTCCCTCCAAAACACAGACCTCTGTGTGTGTGGCTTTGAATGAGCGGCAAGGATGGCATACTACCATTACTCTCCCCTTCACACTGACCCAGGCACCAGACAGTTCCCCTTGCTCCACTGTAAATCCCTGCCCCCTAACTCTCATCCTCCCCCCACCACCCCAGCAGAAACCAGAAGCAACTGGGGAGGGGCTTTGGTTCAAATAACCCTTCTGTGGGTGGATGGGGGTGGGGGCGCACACCCCCTGTCGTCCCAAAGCTCCAGGCTCAAGGTCAAGTCCGTGAGTACAGAGGGTGGGGAAAGGGGGAGGTAGCCCCGGCCCCTTTGTGCGGCGCCGCGGGCGCTCGCCCTCCGCCTCCTCTGCCGGGCCGGGAGCGGGGGAGGGGAGTGACGCTCTCCTGCAGGGAGAGAGGGCGGGAGCGGCCACGCTCCTGTCACTCGGAGCCGGCTGTCACCGCCTGGGGAAAGAGGGGGGTGGGGGTAGAGAGCGCTGGGACCCGGGAGTCCGGGATCCCGAAGAAGGACGGAGAGAGGGAGATATAAAGAGGTGAAGCTGGCATCGGGTGGCAAAAAGCTAGGAGGGACGGGGAGGGGCTAGCCTCGGACCCAGGGAGCCGGGTGTCCAGTCACCCGGCCCCAGGCAGCCAGCGCTCAGAGGAGAGTAGCGCACAGACCCAAAGGGAGGGAATTCCCGGAGAGGGAGGGCGCTCCCAGCACCGGCTCCGGAGGCACCGGTCCCCAAGGGGATGGGAGGTGCTCGCGTTAGATGGGTATGGGCGGGGAGAAGGAGGAATGCCGCGGTCCAAGCCGACCAAGACATCGGGACTTCTAGGTCTGGAAGACCCGAGAGCAAAGAGAAGAGACGGTAAGGACTCAAATGGGGATGGCCTTAGCTCCCACTCCGCAGCCACCGGGTTCCCGACAAGAGGATGCTGCTTTGATGAAGGGGAACGGGGTGAGATGCGTGAGGCTCCTGGTCCGTACTTAAAGGTTGGTACCTCCCACCCACCCGGGGAAGTCGGGCACCTCAAAGACTCCGAGGAGCAGAGATGGAGTAGGCGAGTGAAGCCCCTACCCCCACTCTGGGTGGGGACACGGCCTCCACCACCCCCTAGCCCGCAGCACATTCCTTCACTGACAGCGACAAAGAAGAGGTGCCCCCGCGATCCAGAAGGGTTCCGGTACCTAACCCCAGGGGCGATAGGGGGTCAGGGTCATCAGGGGAGTGGGGGCGCAAGGGGGTCCCCAAGTACCATTTATACCATCCACGCGCTGCGTCCCCCACCCCGGCCCGGGGGAGTGCGTGGGGGGGGGGGAGGACCAGCTCCTGAGGGAGGGGCTCCGGACTTGGGAAAGGGACACTCACGACTTGAGCGGGTTCTGAATGGCGGTGGCCATGGCCCGCTCGGCTGGGCCGCCTCCGGCCCGGGGCGCCGCTGCTGCTGCCGCTGCGCGCGGGCCCAGCCCGGCTTGCGCCGCCCGCTCTGCCGCCCAGCGCGCTACGATTTCATTCATTCTTGGGGCTGCGGCGCGAGCGAAGCGGGGCGGACCGGGGGCGTGGCTCAACCAATCCCCGCGCCTCCCGGCGCACGACGGGACCTGGAGTCTAGGGGCGCGCGTCGGCGCCCGAGGGCGCCCCTGCAGGGACTACACGTCCCAGGGGCCGTTGGGAGTATGGCGTACCCATTGGTTGCTGGGGATACAGGGCGGGGCTGGGCATCCCACTAAAGCATCCTTCCTCCCCACTCTCGGGATGCCTGGGTCCCAGCTGGGGCTTCTTCCACCATCTAGTCCCGTACCACTACTACCATCCCAAAGGATGTGAATGACCCACAGAGTGTAAGGAGTATTTTTTTTTCATGTCCCAACTTGTCTGAGTGGCTCTAACTTATAAAGCTGTCCTAGAACAGAAGGGTTTAATCAATGTCTTTGTCCATTGACGTAGCCCCTATGGGCCTGCACTCTCCTTGGCACTGGGAATACAGCAATGACAAAGTCGCTGCTCTTATCAAGAAGCTCACATTCTAATGCTGGAGAGATGGCTTAGCAGTTAAGAGCGCCGCCCCGTTCTTCCAAAGGACCCAGGTTCAGGTCCCAGCACTCGCACTGGGCTGTCCACACTCACCTGAAACTCCAGCTCCAGGGCTCTGACATCCTTTTCTGGTCTCTGTGAGCACCAGACACGCATAAGGTACACAGACATGCATACGTGCGCACAAACACTAACCCGGAGAAAAGAAGTCTAAAACCAAAACTTAAAAATAAAAGGTACCGCCGGGCGGTGGTGGCACACGCCTGTAATCCCAGCACTTGGGAGGCAGAGGCAGGCGGATTTCGGAGTTCGAGGCCAGCCTGGTCTACAGAGTGAGTTCCAGGACAGCCAGGGCTACACAGAGAAACCCTGTCTCGAAAAACAACAACAACAACAACAACAAAAACAAAACAGAAAAAAATAAAAAATAAAAAAATAAAATAAAAGGTACCATAGGTGAGTGTAAAGTGAGACAAGTTTGAAGTGACCAAGGACAAGGATAGTGTAAGATCTCACAGGCCACTGCAAAGAAAGCAGTGTTTCCAGGGCGACTCATCCTCCAAGTCCTTCTTCCTTAGAGCAGGTCACACCCATCACCAACTCCCATTACCCAACGGTCCCCATGTGTGGGCCTGGGGATGGGTTCAGGGCTCAGAATTGGCTTGCCAGTCACCTGTCATACTTCTCTCTTAAAATATTTAATATATTTATTTATTTATTTTGTGTGCATGTGTGAATATGTGCATGGGGCTTGTGTGGTAGTGAGAGGGCAGCACACAGGGGAGGGGGCGCCCTCCCACCTAACCTGTGAGGCTCAGAGACAGGGAAATGCTCTTCTCCAGTGAGCCATCTCACTAGATGGCTTTTACTTTTTTACTTGACAAAGGTTCTCACTAAGTTGACCAGCTTGGTCTTGAGCTAGTAATACATTTTCTTCCTAGTCTTTATACCTATCACGCTACGTACACATTTGATCATTTAGTTCATTGTCTTCCTCTGCTCATTAGAACACTGGTGCCTGGGAGGCAGAGGCAGGCGGATTTCTGAGTTCGAGGCCAGCCTGGTCTACAGAGTGAGTTCCAGGACAGCCAGGGCTACACAGAGAAACCCTGTCTCGAAAAACAAACAAACAAACAAACAAAAAAGAACACTGGTGTCCAGCTTTAATCCCAGCGCTCAGGAAGCAGAAGCAGGTAGATCTCTCTGAGTTCGAGGCCAGCCTGGTTTACAGAGCAAGTTTCAGGACAGCCGAGGCCACGCACACACACACATACACAAAAGGAAGGAAGAAAGAGAGGAAAGAATACTGGCTCCAAAGGGTTTGTGGTCCCATCCATATCTCTGTCCTCACTGCCTGAATAAATGGATAAAATCCCAAATTAGTCCCATGCTCCACCCCTCTGTCCCCTGTGCATTTCTGAGGACAAGCCCAGCAGGCAGAAGTAGTTAGGTGGCCAGCTGAGCCGTCACACACCTGGGACAGCCTAAGTTGGGGGCAGGTTTGGGCTGCTGTATTAGGGACGTCACCCATGGGACAGTCCCAGGCTGTAGCCTCAGGGTAGAGACAAGGGAAAGGTTAGTAGGGATCTGGGCATGGTGATCTTAGCTCTCTGGAGGCAGAGGCAGGAGGATCAGGAATTCAAGACCTGCTTTGGTTGCGTATCAAGTTGGAGGAAGGGGTCCCTGGTGGGGTGCAGAATGTAGGTGTATTTACTTGTTCCCAGAGTACCATGGGATCTCCCTAGGGAGCTCCAAACCCACTGTGTGGGGTGATATCTCTCTGGTTGATCTATGTGTCCTGATCACTGAGCGAGGTCCTGCCTGTAATCTATGCCTCGATATCCTGTCACTTAAATGCCAGGGACCAGTGCTGTCATCATCATCATCATCATCGATATTTTGGGTTTCTTTTCGAGGGAGAGTCCTGGTTATCCTGAAACTAGATCTGTAGACCAGGCAGGCCTCAAACTACATCTGTTTCTGCCCCGCCAATCCTAGTGCTGTAAAAGGTATTTTAAACCCTTGGTCATTTCTCTTCCATCGGAACTGAAAAGACTTGCCACTAGAGGGCAGTATGGCCCAGTCTTTGTCCCACGGAGCCGGTTCTTGTGTTTTGGGATGGAGAAGCCACATCTCAAATATTGGGGCCTTCGGGGGAGACACAGACTTAGTTCTGAACCTCCAACCCTATTCAAGGCCTGGGCACCAGCTCTGCTCCCCATCTCCCCTCACCTCCAGCATCACAGGCTCCTGTGTATAGCTCGGCACGATGGTACCTACCTGTGAGCGGCTGAGGTAAAGTGGAAAAGTGGATGGAAAGCTTAAGGGGTCTTAGCCTGCTTCGTTTTTGTGCCTCGGGAGGTGGAGATTTGAAGAGCAAAGTTCACGACCATCCCTGACGACACTGAAGGGAGCTGAGGAAGTCTCGAGTGAATGTGTGTTCTTTGACATAGGCACGGCCATATTAAGGTCCCCGGTACTTCTTACCCATGACAGGGGCTTCCCCAAGGTGAAGGATGGCAAAGCCTTCCTTTGCTCCAAGTGCAAATGTTGACAATGTGTGCAAAACCTAGCAGCTGGAGCTGCTAAACTTCTTCCTGAAGGCAACGGGGAAGTCAGCTCACCTTCAGAGGCCTCCCACTGAGACAGGCCTAGCCACCACCTCCCCTTTGCTGAGGTTCTGAGTCGATGAGGCCCCCCTCCACCACAGTCCAGTTGGCCCCAGCTTTTCTGCATGTGTCCAGGTGTCTGTCCTTCCTCATTGTCACCGCCTGTGGGACTGACCCTCCACACCAGGACATAGCAACGTCTCAATTTGGAAACCAGACTAAACTACAAAAATCCCTGCCTCCCCCCAACCCCCAAAAGTATTTGCCCATTCACATCTGCAGGCTCTAACGGCTTTCTTCCACGTGACTAAGGTCTAATGTTATCTTGCCTGCTCTGCAAAGTGGACACCATTTACACATAAGAGAGCAAGTCTTTGGAATGACAAAGATGGCTTCGGTCTGTGGCTGGTGCAACTGGAGGGACTGAGGTGGGATCTCCTGAGCTACAGCAGGCTGGACTGGGAGTCCACGTGAGAGAGGCCATCATGTTCAACCTCTGGTGTGTCGAGTTTGTTGGGTTCCAGCTATGACTTCAGGGGATGGTCTGGAGGCCATGAGTAAGAGAGACACCTGGGAGTTGGACCGCTTGGTATGCAGAGGGAAGTCAGAACTGACAAGACAAACAGATCTAGAGAGGAGAGTGGCGCCCCGGAAATAACCAAGGGGAGGACAGAAAGGGACATCAGAGAGTACCTGAACGTCTGGAGGAAAGGGGAAGAAATCCTGGGGCGCGGATTGGTGGTAGAGCGCCTACCTGCCGAGGCTCTTCTTCCGATGTGACGGGGTCTAGCATCCCCGGAAACCCAAGCCTGTGGCTGGAAGAGCAGAAGGCAGAACTGTGTCTCCTTTCAGCAAACTGCAGCAGGGACACGGAGCTGAGGAGCCGGCTGTAGAGAGCCCCAGCATGGAGGGAGGTGGAGGAGGGATGCTGAGGCAGGGGATTTGGAGCTAGATGCCAGCCTGGGATACATTATGAGACCAGGTCTCAAGGCAAACAAGAGACAGGCCTGATGGCTCACATTTGCAACCCTAGCGCAAAGGCTGCAGGAACAGTGGTGGGACAAGCTTTAATCCCAGCACTCAGGAGGCAGAGGCAGGTGAACCACTGTGAGTTTGAGGACAGCCTGGTGTACAGAGTGAGTTCCAGGACAGCCAGTGCTACACAGAGAGACCCGGTGGCATACTGACCAACCTGACTACCATCTCAGCCCAGGCCCAACACTTGAAGTCGCTCCATCGGTGAGCTGCTGGGGCACATGGAGGGGCCGGTCCTGCAGAACCAGATTGCCATCAAAGATGAAAACCTGGAGCATGGTTGTGAGCGAAGATGGCTGTGGAGCCCAGTACCTGGTGCCTTGGGACTTAAGAGCAGTTCCAAGGAGCCTGAGACAACCCATGGCACGGAGACCCCAAAGGGAGACAGTGGAGGAACCTGTCAACATCAAAAGCAGGAAGGTGGGTGGTGCCGATCCCACGCCAGGAAGGCCTGACTAGCAGCAAGATCGCCCTGAGTGTAGGCAAGAGCAGGATATCCAGTAAGAGTCTCGGGAGATGGTCCAGTATTCATGGTGCTCCAGAAACCAGAAACCTTGAACCAGACCAATGGCTTATTGCAATGAATATTTGCATTTAAACTATCTAGGGAGGACAATCGTGTGTGTGTGTGTGTGTGTGTGTGTGTGTGTGTGTTGTACTGTGGGACACACAATGCCACTTTAACAAGCAAATATTTGAAAGAGAGGTCGGGGAGATGGAGAAACTTCGAAGTGCGAGGTGGAGAGAGGTGGAACTAGAGAAGCCACTGTGCGGCGGGGCTGGGAGAAGGTTACAATGAATCGGGAAACGTATGGACCCCCAGCGAG